TTAGAAAATCTCTACTCTTGGGCACATCGAGGTGGTGTAATGGTTAGCAAGCTTGTCTCGCTAGAAAAATTACGACTGAGTAGTGAGTTCGATACTCACTGGGGGCCCACCTAATTTCAGCCTTGTGCCACATCTAAGCTACGCTTGGAAAATCGCTACACTTAAGTCGCGATGCATGTTTTTGAGTCAGTCGACCCAGTACTTTCTGAGCGACTGTTCGGTTGTACTCTCTTCCTACGGACGGGAGGAATCCGAAGAAGGCTACGCCGAAGGGCGGAGTCTCCTTTCGGGGAGGTCAAACCAGCCCTGAACCCGTTTATACGGGTTCAATGGGTATATTTTTGGCCGAGCCCACGGGCTCGGACTGCCCACGTTAAAAAGGCCTTGTGCCACATGACACCATCGTGGAGGCGGGGTGACTGAATATCGTCAGTCATGTATCAAAAGATACATGATCGCTTAAGAGTGTATCACGCATAGCACATAACTGACTGATATTTATTTTTATAAATAATATATTTACTTTTATATGTATATATTCAAAATAAGTTAAAGGTGGAAAAAAAATAAGCCTTATTTCTGAAAACTAATATCAACTAATTTTCCTGTGTATTTGTTCTTTAAGTAAAAGGAAGAATTGAAATTGCCTTATCGTCCCCGGCGCAACATTTTCCCAATTAACTTTAGCCCTCAAAATATCCCGCCATTTTCGTTCTGCATTTCCCTAATAACTAAAAACTTTATCATCATTAATGTGGTTGTTAATCAGGACATATTTCTAGTTAATTGAACATCATCATTTAAGAGTTCAAAAAATACTCGTAATATAAAAAATCAGAAAACGAATTACAAAATGTGATTTTTTTTTTCACAAAGACAAAAGATGTTTATTTTTATAGCGATTTTAATAGAATTAAAATTTATCGATTCATTTTCTTATAAAGGTACGGCATAGAAGAAGAAGAAGAAGAAGAAGAAGAAGAAGAAGAAGAAGAAGAAGAAGAAGAAGAAGGAGGAGGAGGAGGAGGAGAAGGAGGAGGGCGAGGAGACAACAAAAGATGTTTATTTTTATAGCGATTTTAATAGAATTAAAATTTATCGATTCATAATCTGATAAATGTACGACATAGAACAATGAAGAAGAAGGAGAAGAAGCAGAAGAGGGAGGCGGAGGAGGAGCGGAAGAAGAAAGAGGTGAAGAAGGAGAAGACAAAAGGTGTTTATTTTTATATGCGATTTTAATAGAATTAAAATTTATTGTTTCATTTTCTTATAAATGTACGGCATAGAAGAAGAAGAAGAAGAAGAAGAAGAAGAAGAAGAAGGAGGAGGAGGAGGAGGAGGAGGAGGTGGAGAAGGAGAAGGAGGAAAGAAGAAGGAGGAGAAGAAGTTTATTTTTATAACAATTTTAATAGAATTAAAATTTATTGTTTCATTTTCTTATAAATGTACGGCATAGAAGAAGAAGAAGAAGAAGAAGAAGAAGAAGAAGAAGAAGAAGAAGAAGAAAAGAAGAAGGAGGAGGAGGAGAAGGAGGTGGAGAAGGAGAAGGAGGAAAGAAGAAGGAGGAGAAGAAGTTTATTTTTATAACAATTTTAATAGAATTAAAATTTATTGTTTCATTTTCTTATAAATGTACGGCATAGAAGAAGAAGAAGAAGAAAAGAAGAAGGAGGAGGAGGAGGAGAAGGAGGTGGAGAAGGAGAAGGAGGAAAAGAAGAAGGAGGAGAAGAAGTTTAATTTTATAACAATTTTAATATAATTAAAATTTATTGTTTCATTTTCTTATAAATGTACGACATAAAACAATGAAGAAGGAGAAGGAGGAGGAGGAAGAAGTGGAAGAAGAAAGAGAGTAGAGAAAAGAGGAGGAGAAGAAGAAGAATAAGGAGGACGAGGAGACGACAAAAGATATTTATTTTTATAGTAATTTTAATAGAATTAAAATTAATCGTTTCATTTTCTGATAAATGTACGGCATAGAAGAAGAAGAAGAAGAAGAAGAAGAAGAAGAAGAAGGGGGAGGAGTGGAAGAAAAAGGAGGAGGAGAAATAGGGGAAGAACGAGGAGGAGAAGGAGTAGAAGTGTATTTCTATAGCCATTTTAATGGAATTAAAATTTATCGTTTCATTTTCTGATGAATGTACGGCATAAATAAATAATGAAGAAGAAGAAGAAGGAGGAGGAGGAGGAGGAGGAGGATTTGGGGAAGAAGAAGAAGAAGAAGAAGAAGAAGAAGGAGGAGGATTTGGGGAAGAAGAAGAAGAAGAAGAAGAAGAAGAAGAAGAAGAAGAAGAAGAAGAAGAAGAAGTTTTAATGTCGGAAGAAGAAAAACAAATGCACCGTCGAAAGGATAAGAGGGAGGAGAATAAGATAAATACGAAGGAATAGATTCGTAATAAGGACGAAATTTTGTAAATGACAGAGATCGATGACGGAGAAGGAAAAAAAACAAAATGAAAAATATTTATTAATTAAAAATATTTTTTAAAACAACGGCTGTAAAGAAAGAAACTTAAAACATGTTTAAAAACGTGAACGAATGCTGAAGAAGGAAGAAGAAAAATGAAAAAAATCAAGAAAACGCTTATAAATGATGAAGATATTTAAAAAAAAAAAAAGAAAAGAAAAAAACTAAAAAACCAAAAATGAAGAAGATTATTAAAAAAAAAAAAACAGTAACGAGGAATAGAAAGAAAAAAGCCTAAAAGATATTTCCAAAAATAGGTGTCGACTATATTGTGGGTATAAAATGCAAATTTTTACCACTGAGTAGTAAACAAGTGGGACAACATTCGTAACAATTACTGTACATCACTTACCGTATTCCCAAGAGGCTGCCACAAATATAACTCTCTAAAACCTGTATTTGGTGAACATATTTGTCATGCTAATACAGAAATTAACATAAAAATAATAAAATAATATTCATATTACCGTAAATTGCAGCGTACAATTATAGATTTCAAGCTTAAACTTTATTTCCAAATCTCTGGGACGACTTATATGACGGGTATAAAATGAAGACCTTTAAGTGAAACAGAACTAACAATTTTTGTACTCCACTTACCGTTCCTCCAGTAAGCTGCCACAAATATATCCCTCTAAAACATGTGTTTTCTGAAAATATTTGGCATATTAACACAGAAATTAACAGGAAATAATAAAATAGCAACATAAATTCATTATTCTATTAACGTTACTGCACATATCGCGTCCAACCACTGATACACTAATGTAAACACAGACAGAAGCGTATGTTTTGGGGTCGACCTATACGGTAGCTATAGGACTAATTCAGAATTTTGAGCTAAAAGTTTTGAGGTCGACTTGTACAAGTCGATTTGCATGCAGCAATTTACGGTATATAAATTTGGAAATCATATTCAAGCAAAGATCTCTGGGCAGATCTCGCGTCCAACAGCTGACATATTAAGTAAAACCACTGACCGAAGAGCTATATAACACAGCCGGCCATTTAGACAACTAGGCATGGTATGTGCCATCTGCGCAATTTCATGATAGTAATGTCAGTTTAATGACATAGTGACAATTTATTGAGTATATAATATACTTCACTTATCATTTGGGCTACTGATAATCTACGAAGAAGCAACAAAAATGTGGTTCTACAGATGCTGAGGTTATTAAGAACCGAATATGTGAGCAACGATGAAACTTTAAAGAAAATGGAAACAAATAGGAAAATTATACTTCAAATCAGGTAGCGACAGTTGAAATCTCTAAGGCACATGATGAGGTCAGGAGGCTTGGAGAATTTGATACTCACCGGACAACAGCGTGAAGGCAAGAGGGACAAAGACAAACAACGCATAACATATTTAGTGAGGTTGAGTAAATAGATGGTGGAACAAGGTTTAGGAGAAATAACAGACAAAATTTATTAAGAGCTACAAAAGAGGGGAAATTGTGGAGAGCCATGGTCGCTTACGTCCTGAGTGGAAACGGCACATAAAGGAGAAGATAGCCCAATGTATGTTTGTCGGATGACCTATACGGCCTAACTCAGCATTTGGAGCTAAAAATGTTGAGGTCGACTTGTACGCCGAAATTTACGGTATATGTAAATGTGGAGAAAAAACAAAGAAAAAGAAGAAGAAAAGGAAAATGGCTATGTGTTAGAAACAAAATTTTAAAAAAAGGCAAAGAATAGGCAGAATAGAAGAGGGGCATGAAGAAGAAGAAGAAGAAAAAGAAGAAGAAGAAGAAGAAGAAGAAGAAAAAGAAGAAGAGGAAGAGGAAGAAGAAGAAGAACAACAACAACAACAAGAAAACGAAGGATCTTTCCTAATAAACAACAACTGACCCCACCACCACCGTGGCAACAACAAGAACAAATAATAATAATAATAATAATAATAATGATAATAATAATAATAATAATAATGATAATAATGATAAATTTTAAATGACAAAGTATAAAAAAAGTTTGTTGTCGAGGAAAGAAAGAAAAATGTCTAAAATAAATAAATAAGCAACAAAACAACAACAACAACAACAATAATAATAATAATAATAATAATAATAATAATGGAAAGAACGTGATGAAGGAGAAGGAAATAATGATGAGAGAGAATAAATAGAGGATTATGGTTTCGAAAAAAAAAAAAACTCGATACGAGCAAAGGCAAAAAGAAATATGAATATCGATCGCTAGTGGTGTATCCCAATTAAAGGCCAGTCTGGCTAAAAGGCTGATGATTCTGCAAGGCATGCACCACCTGACATCCGTAAATTAACTTCAGCCCTGAAAAAGGAACAGAATGATTTGTGTAAGTTGTGAGCCGGGAGAGACATGATTGCTCCTTCACAGCGGTTGAATGTGCCGTGCAGGACCGAACATATGTGATGCATTTCACGAGGAGAAAAATTGGCAAATCTTGTTGGGGAAAAAGGAAAAAAGGGGGGAAAAATGAAATAAATGCATGGGAATTGAGCAAAGGGATGCAGACATGGAAACTGAAACGATTTTGAGAAGATTAGCAGAGGGTTGATAGATAGATAGATAGATAGATAGATAGATAGATAGATAGATAGATAGATAATGAGAAAACTAGGATAGATAGATAGATAGATAGATAGATAGATAGATAGATAGATAGATAGATAATGAAGAAACTAGGATAGATAGATAGATAGATAGATAGATAGATAGATAGATAGATAGATAGATAGATAATGAGAAAACTAGGATAGATAGATAGATAGATAGATAGATAATGAAGAAACTAGGATAGATAGATAGATAGATAGATAATGAAGAAACTAGGATAGATAGATAGATAGATAATGAGAAAACTAGGATAGATAGATAGATAATGAGAAAACTAGGATAGATAGATAGATAGATAGATAGAAAGAGAGAGAGAAATAGATTCAGGTAGATAGCTAGATAGATATTCTAGTTTCTCTTCTGAAATATCCATATACACACGCACGCACACACACATACATACAGACACACGCGCGAGCGCGCGCGCACACACACACACACACACACACACACACATATATATATATATAATTGAGTGGCCATCACGCTCATTAGACATAACGCCACCGGACTTTTTCGTGTGGGGTCAACTGAAAGATCGTGTTTACGGGCTCAAATGATTTATGAATTAAAGCAAGCGGTTTCTGATAAACATTCTGAAATTAATATAAAAAATAATGTCAAATGGTTTGTAGAAGTGTTACTGATAGGGTTCACAGTTGTATTGAACATGGTGGCGACCATTTTGAACATGTTAAATTGTTTGTTAAAGATAACAAATGATGTTGTTTTGATGTGACAATATTATAAAGTTTCTTAAACGGTCAGTGATAGAGCGTATGTAAACATAAAAGTGGACATTGAAGTCAACTCCTAGCGGTAACAGTGTCTCATGCTTAAACGCAATCGTCAGGCCGCTTGGTGTTAACTTCAATGTCCATATATATATATATATATATATATATATATATAAATATATACCAAGAATATAAATATATATATATATATATATATATATATATATATATATATATATATATATATATATATATACCCAAGTATAAAATTGGTATATCCGGAATGAATTTCAATAACCGACAATTACTATCTTAAAAGAGTGCTCAATACAAAGTAGAGCAGATATAATTATTTTTTTTATCACCATTTTGTTTCAACACCCCTGGTTTCTCATCAAGTGGTGATGTTGAATGCAAAATAAATGTTTTTTAATATATATATATATATATATATATATATAAGAGTATCATGTTAGACACAGTGCACATATACTACACTAATTCTCATTAGAGTGTTGTAGAGATGAGCGGACAGATATTTTCATCATAAGTAATGTATATCTATAAACTAGAAACTCAAACAGACGGGTAGGTTGGAATTAAAATTGTATCCGAAATATTTTTTTTAATTTTCTGTAATGAAACGCTTTATCCAAGACATCACTTAGTATTCTATGCGTTGTTTTCCTCTGTCATTTTAGTTGGTCCTGTGGAGTATCAGATTTTCCAAGCCTTCTTCTCTCATTATGTAGCATAAATACTTCAAACGTTTATTCTTGATGTCAAGTGAAAGTTTCCTTTTTGCACCCATTTTCTCTAGAAGTTCGTCATTGCTCATCATCCTTCTGTAGAACCACATGTCTGTTGCTTCAAGTCTATTCTTCATCTTTGAGGAGACTGTCCAACATTCACTACCATGTAAGTCCAGGGGTTTTCAAACTGTGGTCCGCGGATCACAGGGAGTCCGCAAGAACAAGATATGGGGTCCGTGGATAGCAAACACTTTTTTATGGGTGACGTGCAACTTATAAGCGCTTATAAGTAACTTATAGGCCGATCATGAAATAAATTGATTTAATAAACTATTTCATAGATTTCATATATTAATATAATTTTTATCTTAAATTGATAAAGATAATGGATTCTATTAATGCAGAGAAGGAACCAAAGGATTTGAATTGTGGATCTATTTTGCGATTTTCGGCTTTCTCATTGGCTGTTAGGCGTTTGCATTAATGCAAAATTATATGTCATATTCAGCAAATATTTATGTATAAATTTCATAAGCGTTTATAAGGGGGTCCCCCCCACCCCAAGGTAAAGCCTGAAATATAAGGGGGTCCGCAAGTCAAAAAGTTTGAAAATCCCTGATGTAGGAGACATTGTAAACTGAAATAATTATTGAATTCAAGATTTCTATCTTGTCAGTTATTTTGCAAATGAAAATTCAACTATTCAGAAATTGTCGTATAAAGTTTTCTGTGTGAGCTTTGTTGAATTTAGGCATTAGTTCCGTTATATATAATCAAGTATTCACATGACAGCATACAGTAGACACGTCGTCTGTCACTAGCGGGAAATTCGTTATGTTTTCGACTTTATAAAATCCTTGATTGCAATGAAGTCTTACAGTTACTCTGTATAAATATATGCAGAATTTTAAATAAAAATGGGTTGGCGAATATTCGAAAATGTCTAGACATTTCGCATCAGTTCGCAAACAATCTGAACAAAGAAGATTCTTATATCGTATAACACCGCACACGTGCTATAAACAAATTAACAATGAAAGTAAAGTGTGAACAAACCAAACGAAATGTTGGGGTGCGAAAGATGATAACATGTCCAGAATAAGTCCGGAAGAGAAAAGTCGACGAACACGAAACAGGTTATTACATCAGATAGTTGAAATGAGTTAAAAACAATATTTCTTTTCAAAGTGTCACACTTGATAAACATGTCCAGTGTCGGCATGGATCGGGGGTGTAAACTGGACGGACCACTGGGAGATCGGCAACGTCACATGGCTTTAAAAAGATGTCAATGCGCGACAGTCGGAAACACTGTTTTGTTTGTCAGGGTGTTAAGGAGTACAAGACAGAACGAGTAACGGAGGAGATGGAGTAATCTTGGCAAGAATGGCAAAAAGAAGAAAGTGATGTAGCACGTGGATCAAAACACACACACACACATATATATATATATATATATATATATATATATATATATATATATATATATATATAGGTGTGTATATATATATATATATGTGTGTGTGTGTGTGTGTGGCGCGCGCGAAGGAGGAGCAGGTGAAAACTTTGAAAGAAAATGAATGTGAAAAGAAGAAACAAAACCTCGTTACCATACAATTCTTTGATTGACAGAAAGAAAGAAAGAAAGAAAGAAAGAGAGAAAGAAAGAAAGAAAGAAAGAAAGAAAGAAAGAAAGAAAGAAAGAAAGAAAGAAAGCCGAAGAAGAAGACGACTTGCAGAGTTGAAAAAAGAAATATGAAATAGTAAAAATGAAGGAAAAGAAAGAAAGGATGAAAAAATTAAAAAAGAATAAAGAAGAGCAGAAGGAGAGCAAGGCTTGAAGAATGAGAAAAGGGAAAATGAAAGAGGAAAACTGTAAGAAAGAAAGAAAGAAAGAAAGAAAGAAAGAAAGAAAGAAAGAAAGAAAGAAAGAAAATCAACGGAGAGAAAGTCTTGAAGAATGAGAAAAGAGAAAATGAAAGAGGAAAACTGTAAGAAAGAAAGAAAGAAAGAAAGAAAGAAAGAAAATCAACGGAGAGAAAGGCTTGAAGAATGAGAAAAGGAAAATGAAAAGAGGAAAAAACTGTAAGAAAGAAAGAAAGAAAAGAAAGAAAGAAAGAAAGAAAGAAAGAAAGAAAGAAAGAAAATCAACGGAGAGAAAGGCTTGAATAATGAGAAAAGGGAAAATGAAAAAGGAAAACTATAAGAAAGAAAGAAAGAAAGAAAGAAAGAAAGAAAGAAAGAAAATCAAAGGAGAGAAAGGCTTGAAGAATGAGAAAATGGAAAATGAAAGAGGAAAACTAAAAGAAAGAAAGAAAGAAAGAAAGAAAGAAAAAGGGTAAAAGCAAACATGAAAATATATAAATAGCAAAAAGGAGAACGTATAAAATAGGACAAAAAACAGAGAGAAAGAAGTAATAACGGAGGAACGATAAAAAAGATAAAAAGTTATGCGTAAGGAATGTCAGACATACATGTGAAAAAAGAGAAAAAAAAGAAAGAAAGAAAGAAAGAGGAGGAAATCGAAGAAAGATAAGAGAAGAAAGATGAAAACAAAAGAGGAATGTAAGGCAGAAAGAAAAAAATGCACAATGTAGAGTGAAATTGAGGGAGAGATGGAAGGAAAGAAGAAAGGAGTAAGAAAAAAAATGAAAGGAAGAACGAAAAATGAAATGCATAAAAAGATAATGAATGAAATAAAAAAGGAAGGAAGAAAGATAAAAGGACAATGCGAAGAAAAATGAGCAGACGGAATTTAACCAGATAACTTCTGAAGACAAACGATATAAAGAAAGAAAGAAAGAAAGAAAGAAAGAAAGAAAGAAAGAAAGAAAGAAAGAAAGTAAATGCACGAATCGGAAAGAATAAAAGTAAGACATAAAACAGAAAAAAAAGAAAAAAGAGAATTAATCGTGGGAAGAACCAAAAGTGGAAAGAAAGAAAGAAAGAAAGAAAGAAAGAAAGAAAGAAAGAAAAAGAAAAGGAAAGAAAAGAAAATGCACGAATAGGAAACAATAAAAGCAAGAAATAAAACAAAAAAAGATAAGAAAATAAGAGAATGAATTGTGAGAAGAATAAAAAGTGAGAATTAAGAAAGAAAGAAAGAAAGAAAGAAAGAAAGAAAGAAAGAAAGAACAGAAAAACCAGGGAGAATATGAGAATGAAAGACAGAAATCCATTAAGAAAAAAAAAAGAAATTCGATTCGAAAGAAAATGCAAAAGAGAAAGAAGGAAACAGAAAAAGGATAGATGCCAAATAAGAAATAAAGAAAGAAGTAATTAAAAGGATGAATGAACGTGGAAAAAAAAAGAAAGAGACAGACAGACAGACAGAGACGAAGACGATGAGACAGAGGAATAGACAGAGAAACCAAGAAGGAGTAAAATAATTAAAGAAAGAAAACTAAAATGGATGCTTTGATGTCCCTGTCAAACAGGTGTTTATGAATAGATTTTTCCGTGTTAGTATAATACAACGTATCTTCCAATGCAAATAAGAAAACTTGACTCATTTATCAGTGGTTTATTTATTCGCCAAGTAGTTTTTTGTTTTGCTTTTAAAACTAGAAAAAAAATGTTTGATTACGCTATACGGGGGAGTGATTCATTCCTTCATAGATTATAGGTCCTCAAAAATAAAACGCAAGAAAATAAAACGCAATATTTCTAGATTAACAACTCTGGTTCCCTTCTCGTTACGTTTTCGTCTCATTTCCAGATTCATTGTATCTGGGCTGACGTTACACGTCTGATAGTACGGGCATTTGAAGCTTAAAATAACTCCTAAGGAGACTATCCCATCTTCAGGTGTATATCGGGGTTACTGTATTGGCATTTTGTGAATGGGATATTTACCATGCTGCATCTCCCAGTGGGGTTCTCTCGATGCCTTAATGAAATATACAGTTGCGACTGTACCTTCTGACGATTAATCTCTTATAGGTTGATTGTTTTTTTCGACCTTGATTCATTCGTCCTGGGTATGACGACAAATTACATCTGGCAGCATGACCTCTAATCAGGAGGTTTTGAGGAGCATGGAACCATCGTTTAATTACTGTTGTTCCCAAGTTCACCCTGACCTTCGATGCTAGAATTTGTTAGGGTTCCAAATAGTGAACGCCAAAACTGAGATCAAAACACTATGAAAGTATATAAAAAATTTATAAATATTTCCGACAGTAGATTTTAATAGTAAAAATAAAAATCCAAGAATAGATTTTAATAAAAAAAATACTCCAATAGTAGATTTTAATAGTAAAAAATAAAAATCCAAGAATAGATTTTAATAAAAAAAAAACTCCAGCAGTACATTTTAAAAGTAAAAAATGTCTAGCTATAGATTTTAATAGAAAAATTTCTAACAATAGATTTAAATAGAAAAAAATTATTTTCTTAAAAAAAATTTTAAAAGTTTAAAAATTTTAAGAATTTTGTTTTTTTTTTATTTTAAAACGTTTTGTTTTCTAAAAATAATCCAGCAATAGAGTTTAGCTGAAAAAATTATAGCAATAGATATTAGTAGAAAAAATTTTAGCAATAGATTATATTAGAAAAAACTTTAGCAATAGATTTAAATAGACAAAAATTCTAGCAATAAATTTTAATAGAAAAAATTCTAGCAATAGATTTTAAGAGTTAATAAAAATTACCAAACCTCCAAAGAAAATTAAATTTCGGTATTAAATGATCCATAAGGAGTTGATATGCTGTTAAACAAACCAAACCAAAATTGATTCTTTATCTTTCATTTCTAATGAACCATGTTAGTACAAAAATATGATAATACGAAATGACCCCACATTATACAAACATATATATAAAGCGTTATTTAATAATTGTTGCTTGGATTTGGAGCAAGGCCTCTAGAACGGAGCAACTAATGAGGCTTAATCTTTCTACTTATGTTCTCTTGCTAACGAATGCACTATAATGTTACAACAATAATTTACTAAGTATGCTTAGTTGTTTTATTCTATGGTTCCAGGAAGTACCTGGCCACGTCTGCAACTATTTATCTTCACAAGAGTCAGACTAGAACAAAAATGGAGCACGACTGCTATATCTGAACAGGAGTTAATCAATCTTCACTTTCAAGCGTTGATAAAATTTAAAATTGGTTATTTGAACTTACAGCCTTTTTTTGTCCACAGAAGAAATATCGTCAACCTATTGCTATTGATTAAATGATCAGTTGTGCTTCATTCTGTATTTCCACCAGTTTAGACCTTTCCATCTTGGATACCCCATGATGCTTCCATGGAATCGAAATACCGTCGTTTCATTCGTGTTCAAAATTTAGGAAGTAAGATCCGTTCGAATAGATGTTTCCCAAGAACTGCTACCTTTTTAGAACAAACTTCTATAAGGATACTTCCCATGATTTATTCTAGTCAAGGTTCTATATTCTTTATCCTCATAATATTTACCTACTATCACAAATTATTTTATTAATATCACACACCTAATTTATTATTACCATTTTAACAGTAACCCTAAACGTTGAGTGGCTCTGATTTGATTTATGTCTTTCATTCGTTTCATAAAAATATGTTTCTTTCCTCCATTCATATATGATCGGGTAGTGCGGATTTCGTTGTCTCTCTCCAGATTGCCACATTTATATATTCATTTTTTTTTGTTTTTTTGATAAAACGGTTAATTTTCCTTTTTTCATTTTCTGCCACTCCATAATTTTTCCCAAGAAGACATGTTAATTCGCACATAATAAAGAAAGGTAATATGTAGTGAGTCATGATCACCTACGCCCTGAAAAGACACGGGGTTAAAAAAAGAATTCTATGTAATGACAGAGCCGCAAAAGATATGAGATAAAAATATGAAAAAAAAAAAGACGCACTGAGTGGAATTTTAGACAAAGCGCACAATACTACGGCCCAATCAGAATCGAACTTTCTATTCAGTCATAAAGACAAGCGGGAGCTGTGTTAAAAAAAAACAAAACGATTTCCTTGCAAATATAAAACACAATAATCAGAAGATGAATTGAGGAACAGAAGAAAATTATATATATATATATATATATATAAGCCATTTTATGTTTAACATTCTTTTTATAGATACAAGTATTTAAGTAAATGTTCTGTTTATAATTGACAGTATTAAATAACCTTTGACAGGACTGAATAGGTGCAGGTTCGAATCCCGAAAAGGACGAATATTTCCTATGAACATTTCTCGGACATTCAGGGTGTAAAAGGTTATTTAATACTGTTTATTATAAACAGAACATTTACTTAAATACTTGTATTTATAAAAGAATGTTAAACATAAAAATGTCTTTAATAAATTGTCGAACTTTATATATATATATAGTTTTAAAAACAAGGAATTTATTGTTTTTAATTTTATTAGTCTCTAAAGCCCTTTCAACCAAAATCTCATCAGGAGACACTCGTTGGATCATTAATTAACGAAAAGAACAGTAACGAAAATAAAGAGCAAAAAAGGGGGAAACACGCTAAAATATCAAACAAGTGTATATACCTGTAACGAGGGGAGGGGAAATAACGTGTAAATAAATTAGCGAGGGACAGTTAAAATAAAATATCCCCCAACAGATTAAGGGACTTTACAAATTCTTTCTGCCGACAGAGAGAAGTTTCCTTAATTCTATGCAGACCGATTCCAAAATCTTCAAATGATTGTTGGAATCAGCCTTATGAATGATTTTAACTAATAAAATTAAAATCAATAAATTCCTTGTTTTTAAAACTGTATATAAATTTTGTACCTCTAAACATTTATATATATATATATATATATATATATATATATATATATTAATCATTTCCCCCCAAGGAAGATTATAATGCCACTTGGGCGGATGTGGTTACAGGACGTGAAAGTGCATGAGAAGATATTCGGGAGGAGAAGTGAGAAAAAAGACAGTTAAAGAAAGTGGCTCAAGAAGGCCGAAGATGTCGATTAACGTTGCATTAAAAAAAAACATTTACATTGTAAATAGCAAGCAATTGAAATAAAGTTCCCTAGGCTGCGAATTTTTTTAATAAATTCACACAAGCAAGGTAATGATGGCACTACGACCCAAGAGGCTGCTGCAAGTGAAACAGAATGAAAAACAAAAACTTTAGAAGTAACGGTTGACCAATCCTAAATCGAGAACAAGGGATAAACCCCTACTCCTGTTCAGAAGACCGAGGCACATTGTTCCTGTTCCACGAGCTATTTGTGTCAAGTCACTGGATCTAATCCAGTGGACCGTGTGTCCTTGAGGATGAAATAAAGGGTTCAGTTCGAAATTCCAATAACCAGAAGAAGACTGGAGCATACAATGGCCGGAACGTCGTAAATATAACAATAAAGATGAGGACAACAGTCCGAACAATGTAAATAATTTAAATTTTAAGAAAGGTTCAAATGGATAGGTTTATAATTTTAAGAATTAATTTTTTTAAAAAAATATTTTCTTCTAAAAAAAAATCCAGCAATAGATTTTAATAGAAAAAAATATTCCAGCAATTGACTTTAATAGTAAAAAAAAAATGTCAAAGCTCCCCCCAAAAAATTATATTTCGGTATCAAATCAAACATAAGCAGTCGTTAAACAAACTTTAATAGTTAACCCCGGAACTGGGGTCAAAACACCGTGAAAGTATGAAAATATATTTGTATAGTAAAAGTATCAGTAATGTATTTTTGAAAAACACAAGATTTCCAGCAATATATTCTTGTTAAAAATATATATAAGAAATACAAATATAGAAAAAGAAATTGCAAATGCTCTCAAGAAAAATAAATTTCGGCATAAAATGACCCATGTGCCGCAAAACAAACAACATCCAGCATCTGCTAATTTTAATTTGTTAGCAACTAATTAAATATTTTTAATGCAAAAACTAATTCGTTTTATATATATATATATATATATATATATATATATATATATATATATATATATATATATATATATATATATATATATATATATATATATATATATATATATATATATATATATATATATGGGGGCACCTTGACGTGGTGTAATGCTTAGTAACTTGTCTTGCTAGATCAATTACGACTGAGTAGTGAGTTCAATACTCACTGGGTGCTCCATACTTTCGGCCTTGTGCCACATCTAAGCCGGGCTTTGAAAATCATTATATATATATATATATATATATATATATATATATATATATATATGTGTGTGTGTGTGTGTGTGGCGTGGTGTCTGCTAAAACCTTTCATTCATACTAATATTTCTTTGTCTGGTCCGAGGTTGATGCATTCTTTGAAATTCCCTCCTCCAGTATGATGTCCTGATTGTCGATTCGAAACGTTTAAGAAAGAAGAATAGCAAATAGGTTTAATTTAAAATTGGCCATGAGCTGTTGTCCTTGCAAGAAGTTGAAAGATTTATTAACATTCAGGGAAAATAACTATGCTGTTGAAATGAAAAGGTTACTAACACTGGAGGTGATTTTACACCCCATCAATCGATCACAGGCAATAAATCTTACAAAAAATATGCCAACTTTTTAGTTGTTTAATGATTATCTATCGATCACTGGTAATTATAATCCAAAAAACCTCTGAACGGGAGGAATTATGTTTCAAAAATTTTATTAGAGGACAAGTATTTTTGAACTCAAGCGGAAATTTAATGCACGCGATTAATAGATAGATAGGTAGATACATAGGGAAAAGGTTGTGATAGATAGATAGATAGATAGATAGATAGATAGATAGATAGATAGATAGATAGTGAACAGTTTGTGATGATAGATAGATAGATAGATAGATAGATAGATAGATAGATAGATAGTGAACAGTTTGTGATAGATAGATAGATAGATAGATAGATAGATAGACAGACAGTGAACAGTTTGTGATGATAGATAGATAGATAGATAGATAGACAGTGAACAGTTTGTGATGATAGATAGATAGATAGATAGATAGATAGATAGATAGATAGACAGTGAACAGTTTGTGATGATAGATAGATAGATAGATAGATAGATAGATAGATAGATAGATAGATAGTGAACAGTTTGTGATAGATAGATAGATAGATAGATAGATAGATAGATAGATAGATAGATAGATAGATAGATAGACAGACAGTGAACAGTTTGTGATGATAGATAGATAGATAGATAGATAGATAGACAGTGAACAGTTTGTGATGATAGATAGATAGATAGATAGATAGATAGATAGTGAACAGTTTGTGATGATAGATAGATAGATAGATAGATAGATAGATAGATAGATAGATAGATAGATAGGGAAAAGGTTGTGATAGATAGATAGGTAGGGAGGATGGTAGGTAGGTAGGTATATGTACTTACTTACACTCGCTTAATTATAATACAGCATGACCAACAGCAAAATATCCGCCATTACAAGAAATGCACACCTGCAAACAGTATTTTTCACTACGACGACGGTGAAATTGTTTGATTCCTTTTTTGTTTCTTTGTTATTAAGTTTTATCAAGCCATTGAGGCTTATTTAAAGCTGAAATACATTTTGGATAGTAAAAACAATTTTTTTTTTCACTAAATAGTACAGAAACCGTCTTACGGTCACATCACGTTGAACTACCGGCTCCCGTACGATCACCGAAGTTAAGGAACATCGAGCTTGTCAAGATCTAGATGAGTAATCCTTTGGCTATACCAGTTGCTATAAGCTTTTATATGTAGGTAATATAACGGATAATGGTTTGAAATTGTTCATCGGAGAGCTGAGTTGCAATTACCGTTGAGGTTGTTATATACACTTACGCGCAAATACTCTTGGGAACGGTATGAATTCACGTTTCTCCCTCTTGCTAAGGGTTAATTAGTAAGACTTGTATCCAAAAACCATTATTATCTCTAAATAAAAAAATCTTACGATCTAGAAATATTTCCTGGCTATAAATAACCTGCAAAGAGTTGACAAGCTATAGAAATCGAATCAACCAATCAATCAAATTTATTTTACCCACTATAAATATCTTTTATGCAAATAAATTCTGAATATTTTTTGAATTGGTTTATTTTGTTTTACAGCATATCAACTTCAATGGTTTATTTAATGCAAACAAGATTTTTATTGCTTGTAATATTTTTCCAAAAATATATTGCTGGTAATATTTCTTTTCTCCAAAATGTATTGATGGTAATATTTCTTTTTTTCCAAAATGTATCGATGGTAATATTTCTTTTTTTTCAAAAATGTAATGATGATTTTAAAAAATGTATTGATGGTAATATTTCTTTTTTTCAAAAATGTAATGATTTAAAAAAATGTATTGATGGTAATATTTCTTTTGTCAAAAATGTATTGCTGGTTATATTTCCTTTTTAAAAAATGTATTGATGGTAATATTTTTTTTTTAAAAATGTATTGAAGGTAATATTTCTTTTTTCAAAAATGTATTGATGGTAATATTTCTTTTTTCAAAAATTTATGGTGGTAATATTTTTTTTTCCAAAAATGTATTGCTGGTAATATTTCTTTTTTCAAAAATGTATTGACGGTAATATTTCTTTTTTTAAAAATCTGTTGCTGATAATATTTCTTTTTTCAAAAATGTACTGTTGGTAATATTTATTTTTCCAGAATGTATTCATGGTAATATTTATTTTTTCAAAAATTAATTGATGGTAATATTTCCTTTTGTAAACATTTTTGCTGGTAATATTTCTTTTTTTCATAAATGTATTGATGTTAATATTTCTTTTTTCAAAAATGTATTGATGGTAATATTTCTTTTTTCATAAATGTATTGATGGTAATATTTTTTTTTTCCAAAAATGTATTGCTGGTAATATTTCTTTTTTCAAAAATGTATTGATGGTAATATTTCTTTTTTCAAAAATGTATTGATGGTAATATTTTTTTTTCCAAAAATTTATAGCCGGAAATATTTCTTTTTTCAAAAATGTATTGATGCTAATATTTTTTTTAAATGTATTGCTGGTAATATAAATTTTTCAAAATATATATTGCTGATAATATTTCTTTTTCCAAAAAATATTGCCGGTAATATTTCTTTTTTCAAAAATGTATTGATGGCAATATTCCTTTTTTCAAAAATGTCTTGCTGTAATATAACTTTTTCCAAATATGTATTGCTGATAATATTTCCTTTTTTTCAAAAATGTATTGCTGGTAATGATTCTTTTTTCATGAATGTATTGATAGTAATATTTCTTTTTTCAAAAAAATTTGCTTGTAATATTTCTTTTTTCAAAAATGTATTGATGGTAATATTTCTTTTTTTTTTAAAATGTATTTATGGTAAAATTTTTTTTCGAAAATGTATTGCTGATTATATTTCTTATTTCAAAAATATATTTATGGTAATATTTTTTTTCAAAAATATATTGCTGGTTATATTTCTTTTTTCAAAATATATTGATGGTAATATTTCTTCTTTTTTCTAATGTATTGATGGTAATATCTCTTTTTTCAAAAATGTATTGCTGGTAATATTTCTTTTTTTAAAAATGTATTGCTGGTAGTATTTCTTTTTTCAAAAATACATTGATTGTAATATTTATTTTGTATTGTAATATTTTGTACAGAAATGTATTGCTGGTATTAAAGTCTATTTTTACACATTTTGACCACAGTTTCTGGGTTAACTCTTTGCCCATACCTGGGATCCCAACAAGTGCTACCACCCCGGCTCAGTGTGGAGCTGGGAACACCAGCAATTAAGAGGTGTTTCCACGATTCTCATAACCTAATGATCAGATGCCTTGCTGTTGAGTGTAGTTTATCGTCATATCCAGGACGAGATTATTGGTTAAAGGAATTTATTCACTTGCATTTGATTTTCTTTCTTTTTTTCCTACGATTACGTCAAATTGGTGTACAAAACACATCATTATTACCACACAAAAAACATCTGATAATCTAATAACATTTTCTTGTTTTAAATAACATACAAAAGGTTAATAAGCCGTAGAAAACGAATTCAAACAATTATGTTTTATTTTTTTATTTTTTTGAGTATGACAATGCCTTTTCCAGATATAAGTCTTATATTTAATCCGTAGCTGGGAGATTGCTTCATAGCTTTCCCAATGATATTTACCCGTCAGCATCCGACAGAAAATCGAAGTCGGCTATCCGTTTTCTCATTCCGACATAATCTGTAAGTTCTTTATCAAAAGGCAAAGTAATGATGTTTCTATGGCTTTTCGCATTCTTTCAATTATACTTTGTGCTCTTCAGGAAGCTAGAGAGTTGTGTGGCTGCATCAATAAGTTCGTAACCTAAAGATGAAAAATACATTGGTGTTACAGAACAAATATCCGTTTTTCGACATCAGTTATTGTTTATCCGTCAGAATGATCGAACATTATACAGTGAATATTTCAGATCAACATCCATCTATTCAGTACAAATATTCTGATACACATTCTTGTTCATCCCTTTGCCCGTGATTGTCATATTCGTTGTGTTTTTTTTGGGTTTTTTTGTTGTTGTTTTTTTGTTTTTTGTTTCTTTTCTTTCTTTTTCGTTTGTCTGGGATCAATTTCAAATAAATTTACTCTCTCTTCTCCAATTTCCCGCTTGTTGATATATGATTGATTTTTATGATCAAATCACAGCCGTTTACATAATTCCCAACAGATACCATTGTTGTAACCTAGAAAGGTTTACTGAATGAGGAATAACCAAAATGAAGGTTGGAAATGAAATGGTAATCTTTATAACATCAACAAAATACAATACTCGCCAGCGGCGTGGAGTAGGTAAACCACTGCTAGTGGTGGACTACTTAGACAGCATATGACCCCGATTTACAATAGTGTCCGACGTATTCATGAGGAGTGGGACATACCCATTAGTGTTCATAGATACGTTATATAATAGATAGATAGATAGATAGACGGAATGAAAAAAGATAAATAGACAGATGAAGAGAATGATAAAAGACAAATAGATAGATGAACAGAATGAGAATAGATAGATAGATAGATAGATAGATGAACAGAATGAGAATAGATAGATAGATAGATAGATAGATACATAGATAGATAGATAGATAGATAGATGAACAGAATGAGAACATATACATAGTACTGTAACCTCGGAAAGCTTACTTAATGAAGAATAACCAAAACGAAGGTTGGAAATAAAATATTAATCTTTATAACATCAACAAAATATAATACTCGCCAGCGGCGTGAAGTAGGTAAACCACTGCTAGTGGTGGACTACTTAGACAGAATATACCACCACCCACCCACACACTTACAATAGCGTCCAATGAATATATGAGTATTGAGACATACCCATTTGTGTTTATAGGTACGGTATATAACAGAATATTATGCGTTGTTTTTCTTTCTTCATGGGTTCTAGAAATTCTACACATCTCTTCTTGATGTCAAGTATGTTTCCTTTTTGTTGCCATGTTTCCGAAACCAAAAACATCAACCAGAAAATTGGATTCATGTTCTTAAATAGACTCGTTCCACATCTAAACTACGCTTAGTAAATCACTATTCTTATTGAAATAAAGTTAAAAGGAAAGCGTAGCGTTATGGTTGTAAAGATAACGTTTTTTTAATTAAGAATATTTGAACGCACTTTAAATTAAACTGTAACAGAATAGCAAAAGAATGTGAATTTTGGTAACTTTCGGTTGTCAAGGAAGATTTCAGAGCAGAACGAATAAGTGAAAGAAACTAAAAATTTTTCTGTTGTTTGTAAAATGATGAAAAAGAGGGAAAACACTATTTACATTATTCGGACTCTTGACCTCATCTTTGTCGCCATATTTATCACAACGTTCGAACAGTTCGAAATTCCAACCATCTGAAGAAGGCCGGAGCGTACAACGGCCGAAACGTTGTAATAAATATGGCGACAAAGATGAGGACAATAGTCCGAATAATGTAAATAATGTACATAATACCTCATCTCAGAAATATGGACAGACTTCAAAGAGGGAAAATTTTATTTGTTTAAAGTGCTCTCCATTCAGTTTCGGCATCTTAATTTACTCGATGCCTGTGAGGTTTTCATTGGTCGAATAAGGCGATAACGGAAGCCATTACTATCAGAGTTTATTCAAACTGAAAAAAAAAACACCAGATGAAGATTGCATTCTTTAGGTAGGTATGAACAAGGAAGATAGAATTTCAATTATATTCCAGTGTATGTAAGTGATAGATAGATAGATAGATAGATAGATAGATAGATAGATAGATAGATAGATAGATAGATAGATAGATAGATATGAACGGACCGGGAAAATAAGACAGATATTAATGAATATAATTACAGAACACGAGGCAGAAAAATATGCATGGCCTGAAAATGATAAATAGAATCACATTCAGAAAGCAAGCTACGTAGAGAGTTTTATATATATATATATATATATATATATATATATATATATATATATATATATATATATATATATATATATATATATCCCCGTCGAATTCGACGTTGAGGGTCAAACAGATCAGTTCCCAGGAAACTGACAGCCCGACAACATCACTTGAGAATCTATATCGCTATATATATATATATATATATATATATATATAAGTTTCAGATAGAGTATATATGTAAGATGACAATATGAATAAAGACAAAATATGCCAGTATATTAAATTTTCTTGACGCTCGGCTATTTTCGTTGTTTTTTCTTTTTTTTTAATTTTTTTAAATTTTTCTTTTAGAATTGCGCAATCTAATTTTTGGGCGCAACTTTAATAATAATAACCAATAATATATTTACTTATTGGAAAAGAGAATTTTTTTTAAATTTTTAATCGTTTGAGTATACTCGTCATGCGCGTGAATGTACATTCCACGCAGACGGGCGCAAACGTGCACACACACACACACACACACACACACACACAAACACACGCAACACACACACTAACACACACACAAACATTCGCGATAAGGTCATATTAAAACAAATTCAGAAATATAATAAGCAGTCAATTACTAACACCTGACGTGTGGACGGGTCCACCTCCGAAACTCTGGAGGGGACATTAATCAGTTAAGTAAGAAACATTTTACTTATCTTAATTATATATATATATATATATATATATATATATATATAGCTTGCTTTTTAACTGTGATTCCATTTATCATTTTTTGACCTTCCATATTTATCTACCTACCTACTTATCTATCTATCTATCTATCTATCTATCTATCTATCTATCTATATATATATATATATATATATATATATATATAATAAAAAGGCTTAAACACTAATATTCCATGGTCATAATCTATTCCACTGGAATCGTAAATACGATCCAATTTATCAGACCTACAAATTCAAAAAGAAAACAGAAAAACACCAACTCCGGAAATAAAAACAGAATTTAGAGAGAGTGTAAGTATGAGGAGGAGGGAGATTAAACCTTAACAGAGAGAATTTTAGGAGAGGTGGGTGGAAGGGGTTTAATTAAGAGAAAAATGAATGTTGTCGGATGTCTAATGCATAAAGATACATTTCGTGGTGACATACATGTATATTTTCCACTAATATTATCTATATCTATATATATATATATATATGTGTGTGTGTGTGTGTGTGTGAGGAGTGTATGTGTGTGTGCGCGCGTGTGTGTGTTGAGTGTGTGCGCGCGTGTGTGTGTGGACAGAGAGTGAATGATTAAAAACAGGCGGATAGGGCCTCTAGGATGAATCCATACTAAGATAAGCAACGTAGATATGAAGAGAAATATTGTGTAAATGTCCGTTAAGAACATACACACACACACTCACTCACACACATTTACATATATTTATATATCTATATCTATATCTATATATCTATATATATATATATATATATATATATATATATATATATATATATTACTCTTCCATAAATTAATCACAAAAAAGATTTTAAACTGTGAGTACAGACCACTTCAATCTCTTT